GTTTACTGCTTGTGTCTGTACTTTACTGTAGCTTACTGTACTCCGCTGTAGTTCACGGCAGTCTACTGTAGTCTGCTGTACTTCACCGTAGTTTACTGTACTTTACTGCAGTTTACTGTCATTCACTGTAGTTTACTGTAGTTCACCGCAGTTTACTGTACTTTGCTGTAGTTTACTGTAGTTCACTGTACTTTACTGTAGCTCACTGCAGTTTACTGTACTCTACTGTAGTTTACTGTAGTTCACGGCAGTTTAATGTACTTTACTGTAGTTTACTGCTTGTTGACTGTACTTTACTGTAGCTTACTGTACTTCACTGTAGTTCACGGCAGTCTACTGTAGTCTGCTGTACTTCACCGTAGTTTACTGTACTTTACTGCAGTTTACTGTCGTTCACTGTACTTTACTGTAGTTCACCGCAGTTTACTGTACTTTGCTGTAGTTTACTGTAGTTCACTGTACTTTACTGTAGCTCACTGCAGTTTACTGTACTCTACTGTAGTTTACTGTAGTTCACGGCAGTTTAATGTACTTTACTGTAGTTTACTGTACTCTACTGTAGTTCACTGTGTTTTGCTGTGGTTCACTGTACTTTACTGTAGCTTACTGTGGTTCACTGTACTTTACTGTAGTTCACTGTACTTTACTGTAGTTTATTGAAGTTCACTGTACTTCGCTGTACTTTGCTGTAGTTTACTGTAGTTCTCTGTACTTTACTGTAGTTCACTGTAGTTCACTGTAGTTCGCTGTAGTTCAATGTACTTTACTGTAGTTCACTGTAGTTTACTGTACTTTACTGTAGTTCACTGTAGTTTGCGGTAGTTTACTGTAGTTTACTGTAGTTCATTGTAGTTTACTGTACTTTACTGTAGTTCACTGTAGTTTACTGTAGTTCACTGTAGTTTACTGCAGTTCACTGTAGTTTACTGTAGTTCACTGTACTTTACTGCACTTTACTGTAGTTCACCGTAGTTTACTGTAGTTCACTGTACTTTACTGTAGTTCACCGTAGTTTACTGTACTTTACTGTAGTTCACTGTAGTTTACTGTGGTTCACTGTAATCTACTGTAGTTCACAGTACTTTACTGTAGTTCACTGTAGTTTACTGCAGTTCACTGTACTTTACTGTAGTTCACTGTAGTTTACTGTTGTTTACTGCAGTTCACTGTAGTTTACTGCAGTTCACTGTAGTTTACTGTAGTTTACTGTACTTTACTGTAGTTTACTGTAGTTCACTGTACTTTACTGTAGTTCACTGTAGTTCACTGCAGTTCACTGTACTTTACTGTAGTTCACTGTAGTTTACTGTAGTTTACTCCAGAGTACTCACTGTACTTTACTGTAGTTCACTGTACTTTACTGTAGTTTACTGTAGTTCACTGTACTTTACTGTAGTTCACTGTAGTTCACTGCAGTTCACTGTACTTTACTGTAGTTCACTGTAGTTTACTGTAGTTTACTCCAGAGTACTCACTGTACTTTACTGTAGTTCACTGTACTTTACTGTAGTTTACTCCAGAGTACTCACTGCACTTTACTGTAGTTCACTGTACTTCACTGTACTTTTCACTGTACTTTACTGTAGTTTGCTGTAGTTCACTGTAGTTTACTGCAGTTCACTGTACTTTACTCTAGTTTACTGTAGTTTACTGCAGTTCACTGTACTTTTCACTGTACTTTACTGTAGTTTACTGTAGTTCACTGTAGTTTACTGCAGTTCACTGTACTTTACTGTAGTTTACTGTAGTTTACTGTAGTTCACTGTACTTTACTGTAGTTTACTGTAGTTTACTGCAGTTCACTGTACTTTACTGTAGTTTACTGTAGTTTACTGTAGTTCACTGTACTTTTCACTGTACTTTACTGTAGTTTGCTGTAGTTCACTGTAGTTTACTGCAGTTCACTGTACTTTACTCTAGTTTACTGTAGTTTACTGCAGTTCACTGTACTTTTCACTGTACTTTACTGTAGTTTACTGTAGTTCACTGTAGTTTACTGCAGTTCACTGTACTTTACTGTAGTTTACTGTAGTTTACTGTAGTTTACTGCAGTTCACTGTACTTTTCACTGTACTTTACTGTAGTTTACTGTAGTTCACTGTAGTTTACTGTAGTTCACTGTAGTTTACTTCAGTTCACTGTACTTTACTGTAGTTCACTGTACTTTACTGTAGTTTTGAGGAATATTGATTAGCTGGAAATATCAAACCCTCAAATCTGAAACAAGTATATATTTTTATGAAAACACCAAATTAATACTGTGAAAATATATAAATATGTGTAAAATACTATTTATTTTCTATTATATTTCATACTTCTGTAGTTATGATTTTTAGACTTTATTTCAATAAATTTGTATTTATTGTTTATCAACTTATTAATTAAATCGTCTTTTATTTATTCATTTTAATCAAATACTTTTCTTTAGTTATTTATTTGTTAACATCAAATGTATTTATTTTAATTCATTTTTTATTTTAATCAAAACTTATTTTAATTTTTTTCTGAATTTATACAACATTTGTAATTAAATTTATTTTTTCATTGTGTTTATTTTAATAAAATAAATGTATTTAATCATATTTATTTATTTACATCCAATTTTATTTATTGTTATTAATGTATTTATTTTTCTCAATTTGAATTAATTAATTAATTATTGTTATATTTTATGATGTATTTGTACAGTTTTTCTCTAGACTTGCGGCCTCAAATATCACTCTGACCTCCCGAGTCTGGTGCGTTCAAGTCCTCCTGGGGAAGTTCGTACGTACGAGGTGGGAAGTCGTGTTTACGACGACAGTGCGTTCAAGTCACTTTCGCCGGAGGAAGATGGCGGAGTACTTTCTCTTAATTAATTACACAAAAACACAGTAAGGTTCTTAAACTCTTGTTCTAGAAAATGAAGAACAAAGAAATGTGCATCGGATGTACTTTGTTTTTTATGTTTTTAATTAATTTATGAAGCCACTGCCAACTTTATCGTTACATGTTGCACTGTTATATTATAATGCCATCATATTCTGTGCAGGCAATTCGCTTAACTGCGCTGTAAATAAGAAAACCTTGACGATATCACTGCATAATATTTAAGTATTGTGGTATTCCGCCATGTTTCTCAGTGACACGCCCACAACTCGGAAAGATCGGGGCTTAGAGAAAATCCCGAACTCCCCACTGGTATTTACGACATTGTGGTGGCGTTCAAGTGCGTTCAACTCGTAAATACGATCTATACGAGATGACTTGAACGCACCATTAAACAGGTGAATGACATCATCCTCCAGGAAGTGATGCGGTTTTGGAGGGAAAACAGAGGCACACACACTGCTGTTATTCTTTCTGTTTACAGAAACCTGAAACTTCTTTACATTTATTTTGGAACTGCTCTCTCACAGTGACATTTTGGTGTGACATTTGTGATTTTATCAAATGTTATGTGAATCATAACTTTGAATTTACATATAGAAATGTAATTTTTGGTTTTCATGAATGTGAAAAGAAAAGAGATATTTATTTTGTAAACCTTATTTTTCTGTTAGCTAAATTTCACATTCACAAATGTAAATTTTCAAAATGCAATCCTCTTTTTTTAAGATTTAATCTTGAAATGTAAATGTATTTTGAATCTATTGAGTTTTCAAAAAATGTAAAAGCTATAAGAACAGTGGCTGTGTTTAAGGACTTGGCACTTAATCTGGATTAAAAAGACTGAAGGAACTTAATCTGGAAAAACACACTGCTGTTATTTGAGGAGTTCTGGGATGTTTTGTGGCCGTTGTTGGGTTGTGTCACTCTAATGTTCCAGGAGTTTCAGCTCAAAGTAACTTTCTTTCAACCTTTTGGACTCTAATAGATGAAGATGATGATGATGATCCTATTAATTTAATTACATATTTACATAAATACACATAGTTTGATATGATTATAATACTATTTCATTATAACAATGAAATAAAATAATTATAAATAAATTGAAAACATTTTCAGAATATTCAAAAACGGAATAATAATAATATTGATAATTATTTAATAATAACATATAATTATTTAAATATATTTTATTTTACAGTAGGAATGGCAATTTAATTTAATATTTATAAATATTATAGTTGGTTATAATAATATGTCATGAAGGTAATGAAATAAGATATTTATAAATAAATAGAAATAAGTTTTATTTTACAGAGGCTAGGAGTTGCGTTTTAATTTAATATTTATATAAATATTTTGTTTATAGTAATAATAATATCTAATTAAGGAAGTAAAATCATTTTTAATAATATTTTTTTTTTCAGTTTTACTTGACGTTATTAATTGATTGTGATTACTTACTGAGAAATAGCTAGATAGAATAGCAGATTTCTATCTACCCGCCATAACTAGAAAAATGTATGATTATTAAAAGAATTCCATGACTTTTTAAGAATTTAACACACTTCCATGAGTTTTCCAGGACTAGAAATCACACTTTTAATTCTCTCACTCATATATCCAGGTTTTCCAAGAGGAGATTCACTGAAATAAGAAACAAGATGTGATCATAAATGCATCATCAAATCAGTTTGCAACACTAATAATAATCATAAATGTGTCTTGAGCATCAGATCCTCATATTAGAGTGATTTCTGAAGGATCATGTGACACTGAAGACTGGAGTAATGATGCTGAACATTCAGCTTTGATCACAGGAATAAATTACACTTAAATTACTATATATTCACAGCTGATTAATATTATAATGATATTTCACAATACATGGAGTTCCAGTGGATCCACTTCATCTCCACAGAGCAACTTTCTGACTAACTTCTCACTGGTTCTGGTTCAGATCGGGCTCGATCAGTCCACTCACTCATTGGGTTCGGGCTCGGTATCGATTACTCACTCATTGGACCGCGCCGTGCCGGGTGCGCGCGCCCGTGCGCGTTCCCGTGTGCGTGCCAGTGCGCGCTTGCGTTCGGTGACGGGAGCGCAAAGTGATCAGCGGATCTTTTCGATCATCATTCAGATCAATAATAGTATAATAATAATAATAATAATAGCACCGTGCGTGCGCGCGCCTCGCGTCTGGAGAGCTGTGCGTCATTCCTCTCCTTTATTTTTGAATGTTGTCGCGCTGGAGGAGTGATGATGGATCCTCACAGAGCGAGCTGATCACGGTCAGTGCCGGAGGATCATGTCCTATGTGTCTTCACAAGGTAAGAGTTATAATCGATCATCTGGTCGGCTCCGATCACTGATCAATGCGGGCTCGCTGGCTCCCATGATTGACAGCTCTCACTCTGCAGTCCCGCGATGCCTTTACATTCACCTGATCGATAATGCACCTTCCGCGTGAGAGTCCAATCATTGCGATCGATAATCAGTGTGAATAGTTGAGCTCAGAAACAGCAGGTTTATTTATAGATCCCGAACCGAACCGAGTCAGGAGCGGCCCGCGCGCGCGCACGAGGGAGAGCTTCCGGAACACGCGCGAGAACATCAACACAAATTCTCACACTGAAAATCACAAAATTATTTTAATGTTAATTGTAAAATGCTGTATCAGTGATACAGCATTTATCACTGATACAGAATAAATGCTGTATTCTGTATCAGTACAGAATAAACTCGGTTATTCGGTTAGCAGTGCAGGGGAAACTGTCATACATCTAATGTAACTGTACAGTAAAACACTAGCGCTTACATCTACCATCTTTAGATGTAAAAAAGAACCCTATAATTTACATTGAAATGCCATTCCCAGAATTCCCCGTGTGACACTTCACATTTGATGGTTTTTAATAGGCATAATTATATTTCTTCTTAGTTTATTTTGTGATCATTTATATACATTAGGGTTTCATGTTGATAAATGAATGCATATTGAATTATTTGAGTGTCCATGATGGTGTTTGGTGTTGTTTAGTGCAGATGATCAGATGGATGTGTATCAGACATGATGTGATGAGCGTCAGTCGTGCCACTGTGAATCTCAAGAGGTCATTTACATTGAGCTGGAGGAGTTTCAGCGAGAGCGTTTAAATGTCATGCTCTCCTGTCTGCCGGACTTCTGTCTGTAAAGTGAGTTTATTCAGAACGAAACAAACAGTTTGTTACATTATTATATATCATCAGTGTTTCAAAGCAGCTTCACAGTAATACACAGGAAAATAACAGAATCAATGATGCTAACTTCATCAAATATGAGACAAACTCAGATTCAGGGGTGAAGCAGCTCTACAGAAGATGGAAGAGTCATTATTCAGATCAGCTCAAGTTTTGTTCTCATCTGCATTTGATTCTATCAATCACAACGTTCTTTTGAATAGACTTGAAAATTATGTTGGCATTAGTGGAATTGCATTAGCATGGTTTAAATCACACTTATCTGACCGTTATCAGTTTGTAGCAGTAAATGAAGAGATGTCTTTTAGTGCTGGGCGGTATGACCAAAAATCCATATCACGGTATTTTTCAAAATTATACCGGTTTCGCGGTATCTGACGGTATTTTATTTTTTCCATGCATGACTGGGTGTTAACCACATTTTCTACTGATTGAGAGAGGACATACTGCAGTAGATTGACTTAGAATGCACTATTGTACAGTCATGAGTGAATATTGTAGAAAAATTCCACCCACAAAATGATGCTGTTTACAAAGAGCTCCAGCAGGAGGCGCTGTAGGAGCGCAGAAACAGCGGTTTCCACGGTAACGGCTGAACACAAAGCGGTTTCCCCGGTAACGGCTGAACACAAACCAGCGCTCATAAACGCTGACAGAACGCAAAGAAAGATTCAATTGAAATAACATCGAAACTTTTCTAAAGACCGTCAGTGCACTTCAGAAACATTCATATAAAAACTCCCGCGTCGCGTTTTGACTTTGAAACGTGCAGTGCTCATATTTATTCAACGATGTCAATGCCAACCACAAATAGATTTTCCGAAAGGCTGTGTTGATATTGTGAACCAATGTATGGGAAACACTAAGATAATTTGACAGCTATCAATTATAGTTTGACCTATCCATCTTCACGTCATGCTTACACATAACGTTAGCTGTGCATCACCAGTGTGTTGTTAAAGTGACATGCACCGGTATTGCGGTATATTAAAAATTCATATCATAAGTAAAATAAACACCGGTATGCCCAGCACTAAGTCTTATCGATCACAAGTTCAGTATGGAGTACCACAAGGCTCAGTGCTAGGACCGTTGCTGTTCACTCAGTACATGCTACCCCTGGGAGATATTATTATTATTCAGATCAATTCAGTTCATTGTTGATTGTGTTCTGGTGTGGATCATACTTCTGACTGTACAGAATTTTTTTTTTGTTGAACTGATGTACTGATGTGTACTTGTTTACTGTTTACTACTTTGAAATAGTTATGTTGAATTAAGTTAATGCACATGCAGAGTGTAAACTAACTGCCCAAAAATATGTTCTAAGAACGCTTTGCTAATGTTCCCATTTAATAATGTAAACATTATGTGTATGTTCTCTGAACGGTCAAAACATCCAGTTTTTAAAATGTTTTTTTTTTATTGGTTATATGAACGTTAAGGGAACATTCCATTGTATCATTCTTCAAACATTATGAGAACGTTACTTTTGAATGTTCTCTGAACGTTCTGAAACAAGTAGCAACATTTAAAAAATGTTAGATGAACACATCCAACTAAAACATTTCAGAAAAACGCTCCATGAATGATGTATAAATAATGTTTTTGTTCTAAAGTTTAGAGAACATTATTAAAGGCCAGATATCTTTGACCAGATAACGTTCTATTAATGTTACTGGAAGAACGTTTGTTCATAACTTTGGGAACCTTGATAGAACATTCTTTGGAAAAAAGAAAAATTTTGCTTAAATGTTTTTTCTTTTTCCTTTTACGGTAATAACTAAATCTGATGGTCATATCAACATGAGCATGACTATATCTTCATGATTGTGATCGTGTCATTGTGACTCTGATCATATCGTCATGATTGCGATTGTATTGTTATATCTCAGTAACAGCTGTTTAGCCGATGGTGTAAAGCGTTCTGCTCCTGTTGTGTCTTCGTTCTCTAGTTATGATGCTTTTCAGTTTTTGTTTCTGCAGTGGTTAAGCGAATCACAGACTCACTGTTCGTTATGCGCATGAATGCAGTGGTGAAATGTTGAGGTTAGTAATATGATGTACAGACCCGTCACTGATGATGCGGTTTAGGCATCTGATCCACTTTTGCGTGTTTTATCTTTCACTTCTGTTTGCTGTCAGACTAGAAAACTCCCATTATAATCAACAGCACATCTCAGCATTTGTTTTGGAAAGTGTTGATCTTCTAATGTAACAGCAATATAATTGGTTTGTTTTAGGTGTTGAGCCACATTATGAGATGAAATTGCAAAAAGTTTTTGAATGTCAGTGTGTTTATTTGAAATTGAATTATCATAATTACAGTATCAAAGGAAATAATGATCAGATTATGATTAGATCATGATATATATATATAATTTGATATAAATTTACAGTTGATGAACCATCTTGTTCACATGTATATTATAATTGAAATATAATTTTACAGTTTTGCATTTATTTGAATTGGAAAGTTTTGTCGGGGCGTGAAGAAATATACAGCTGAGTATCATCGGCATAACAGTGAAAACTAATCCCATGCTTCCTAATGATATCTCCTAAGGGTAGCATGTACAGAGTGTGTGTGTGTGTGTGTGTGTGTGTGTGTGTGTGTGTGTGTGAGGGTAGCATGTACAGTGTGTGTGTGTGCGTGTGTGTGTGTGTGTGTGTGTGTGTGTGTGTGTGTGTGTGTGTGTGTGTGTGTGTGTGTGTGTGTGTGTGTGTGTGTGTGTGTGTAGCATGTACAGAGTGAACAGCAGCGGTCCTAGTACTGAGCCTTGTGGTACGCCATACTGAACTTGTGATTGATAAGACATCTCTTCATTTACTGCTACAAACTGATAACGGTCAGATAAGTGTGATTTAAACCATACTAGTGCAATTCCACTAATGCCAACACAGTTTTCTAGTCTATTTAAAAGAATGCTGTGGTCAATAGTATCAAATGCAGCACTAAGATCGAGTAACACTAATAGAGAGATACAACCGCGATCGGATGATAAGAGCAGATCATGTGTGACTCTAATGAGAGCGGTCTCAGTGCTATGGTACGGTCTAAACCCGGACTGGAGATCCTCACAGATATCATTTCTTTCTAGAAAGGAACACAGTTGTGAGGATACTGCCTTTCTATATCTTTGACAGAAAAGGTAGATTCAAGATCGGCCTGTAATTCACTAATTCTGTACGATCAAGTTGTGTTTTTTAAATAAGAGGTTTAATCATAGCCAGCTTAAAAGTTTTTGGTACATAATGACAAAGATGAATTAGTAATATTAAGAATTGGATCAATGACCTCTGGAAGCTTCTCTTTCAGTAGCGTAGTCCGTATAGGGTCTAATATACATGTTGTTGATTTAGATGATTTAACGAGTTTAGACAATTCTTCCTCTCCTATAGCAGTGAATGAATGGAAGTTTTCCTCAGGGAGACTACACTGCACTGCCTGATGCAATGCTGTAGTAGACGGGTGCATACTTATAATTTTCTCCCTGATATTATTAATCTTGTAAGTAAAGAAGGGCATAAAGTCATTACTGATGTGCTGCTTGGAAACTTCAGAAGCTGAAGCTTTATTTCTTGTTGATTTAGCCACTGTATCGAATAAATACCTAGGGTTGTGTTGGTTTTCTTCTAAGATAGACATAAAATAAGCAGATCTGCAGCTTTTAAGGCCTCTCTGTACGCAATAATGCTATCTTTCCATGAAATGCGATAAACCTCTAGTTTTGTTTTCTTCCAGCTACGCTCCATTAAATGTTAATTTTACAGTTGTTCATCTGTGTATTTGGTGAGTTTTATGTTTTATGTTTATGTAAATGTAGAGTTGATGAATCATCTCATTCATATGTAAAGTCAAATGCCTGTCTGTCATGTCCAAGAAAACTGTGTTCCTGAACTCATATCATAGGCTCTTCATGAGCTCGGTGTGTCTGACAGTCCGGATCACTGCTGAACACGTGGCCTGTTCTGAGCGTTTATGTAAGAATCACACATTCGATGCATCAATCACAGACTCGTCTTAAACGCTCTCATTTCCCATCATCAGCACTGCTGTAGAAAAGGCTTTTAATAATAAACCTGTTTAATGCAGAAGCTGTGTTCCTGCGAGTTTAGCAGGTTAGCTGTGACATTATGGAAATATTGAGGCTTCTGTGGGCATCAGGCATTGATTTCCAAATCAAGCCAATAACATGTTGACACACTTACAGTTAATCTGCTTTATGGAAAAAGATGTGAACTAACTTCTTGATTCTTGTTCATGTATAGCTATAGGTCATTCAGGACGAGGATTTCATTTCTAAGAACATCTTTATTCATTTTGCTTTCATATGATTTATTATCTTACAGTTTGACTGTCGCTCTGATCTCTGCAGATGCTTGAGAAGCTCAGCTTGATTACTAGATGTTAAATCTGCCTTTCGGTCCTCTGACCTTTGACCTTTGGTTTAACATAAAGAACTACTGCCCAATAAACATTTGTTTTAATGAAGTTTTTGTGCTGCTGAAAATTTCTTCTGGTAGTTAACTCATTCCCCGCCATTGATGGAATTTTCCATGTTTTCACTGTTATAGGCTACTCTTCATCACACTGAATCTAATGTTCTTATGTTACCATGAATTAGTCTAGCAAACAACATATTAGCATTGAATAGTCATTCTAATAAGCAGCAAATGCATGAATTCCTTCTGAATGACCTTGAGCACAAAGCTGATCATGACTAAATAAGCAACTTTTCTCAAACCCCATGATATCTCCGTTGAGATGCGACAGGAACGGCCTGTGGAAAGTGTTCTGGAGAACGTTTCGAAAGCACATGTGTTGCGGGTCCAGCTGCCAGAGGAGGAAGAGACTCCCACCTACAGGGAGAGAGAGAGAGGGAGAGGGATTACATCCATCACGGTTGCCACGGCAACGCAGAGTTGGCTCCCTCTTCCAGAATAGTTCTCTCCTCTCATCCCGTTTTCATGCTGTACTCAAACACTTCCATCTGACACCCACCTCTCTGCCTTTCCTTTTCCTCTCTTTCATAATCCCCCTCTCTCTCTCACGCTATATCGGTCGCTTTAAGTCGTTTTTTAGCCCGCTCGGCCGTGGTCGTCATGGTAACAGGCTGGGGGTGTGCGAGCGAGAGAGAGAGAGTGGGCGTCACGGAAGTGACATCTCTTGGGCTGTAACCCATCTTCCTCCCTCTCTCTCTCTCTCACTCTCTCGCTCGCTCGCTCGCTCTCTCTCGCTCTCTCTCTCACTCTCTCTCTCTCTCTCGCTCTCTCGCTCTCTCTCACTCTCTCTCTCTCGCTGTGGGGGCGATCGGGACACAAAAGCAAGTGTCAAAATGAGTTTTAAATTTGTCTTGTGTGTGTTTCCATATATGACGCATTGAGCGTTACTGTGCCGCACCTCTATGATCCCGTTCTCTATTCATCCAGATATGTGCTTTCCATACATACTGCACTTGAAGTGTTTGAGTCATGTGACCCATGTTGGCCTAGAGGTCGTAACCTCGCCACTTTTAAAATCATACGTCATCGTTTTAACGTCATCTATTGAATTTATTAACTGTAGTAAAAATGTGTCCCACCTGCTTCATCTTTGATTAAAACAGCGTTAGTGTTACTGTTAACCAGCTATAAACTAACTAACTAGTTATTCCCTCAATCTGCGATCCTGTTACCCACTCTGGAGTTTATTATAAATATAATTTTTTTAATTGATACATTAAAAAAAATATTTTTAAAATGTGTGTATATCTGTTTATTGCTATAAAATAATCGTACACAAACCAGTTACTATGTTTAGACATAAATGTAGCTTACAATATTGCAAAAATAACAAATTTTAAAATACTAATTAAAAAATTATAATGAAATAATGTTACACTGACCAGAATTTTATACTGTATTTAGACATAAAATTAGCTTACAGTATTGCAAAAAATGCAGATGTCATTTAAAATAATCATTAATAAATAATTGTAATTAAATCGTAAAATAATTAATAAATTATGTAAAATAAAACAACACATATTATTTAGTTTGACCTGCTGAAGGTGATACTTTGCGACAAAATTATAATTTTTTGCTCAATTTGTAAGCGGCCTGTATCTGACGTGCAAATAAATCTGACAGTTATGTGCCATTTATGATGTTTTTTTATTTTGAATCAATATTGTGTAAAGTAAAAGTAAGTATTCAGGTCTGATTCAGTTGTATCATGTGCACTAATATTGTGTGTGTGTGTGTGTGTGTGTTCAGATGGAAGGTGTGTGTCTCCATGTTCTCGGCCTCACACTCCTCTGAATGGCCACACACACGACTCCCCCGGCTGGAGCCGCCAGCTCCGCGTCAGAGATGGAGACCAGTTCTACCTGCTGGATCAAGAGGAGGTGAACACACACACACACACACACACTCACAGCTGTGAACACTAGAGGGAGCTGCAGGCCTTTGATGACTCTTTGACTCTCTTGGATCATCAGCATCACTGTTGAAAAAGCTGCTTGCAAACTCTAGTGCCCCTACAAACCAATCATATTAATATATCATTTTTATATAGAAGCATTATATTTACATTTAATCATTTAGCAAACGCTTTTATCCAAAGTGACTTAGAAATGAGGAGAGCAATACAAGCAATCAAACCAAGAAAAGAGGCAACAGTATGCAAGTGGTGTGATGAGTCCCAGTTAGTCTAGGGCTACGTCTACATTCATCTGGATACAATTTAAAATGGCGTTTTCGTTTAAAAACGCTCTCCGTCCACACTAGCGTTTTCCAAAAGTTTCTAATCCACACTGAAATGCCTGAAAACGCTAAATTCACCTTACTAAAGGGGAAACCCTCACAAAAGCTCACCTAGATGATATAGACGGAAAAATAAATAATAAAGTTATCGCGCAATTCTTCTGGCAGGATAATTTTATTTAGCAGAATATCTCATCATTCACTGATCGTCCAGGTCGCTCTCACTCACTATTATATGTTTGGTCTAAAACTGCTCATGTTTCGCCGCAGGACAGCAGATGTGTGTGACTTCTGTCATCTGTGCAGGACTGTGATATGAAGAGTGTGTGAAGTAACATATTTCTGCAACTGTATGAAAGTGAATAGCACATAACAGGCACAATACTGCTATAAACATGAATATCTGTATATATATACACTCACCGGCCACTTTATTAGGTACCCCATCCTAGTAACGGGTTGGACCCCCTTTTGCCGTCAGAACTGCCTCAATTCTTCGTGGCATAGATTCAACAAGGTGCTGGAAGCATTCCTCAGGGAGTTTGGTCCATATTGACATGATGGCATCACACAGTTGCCGCAGATTTGTCGGCTGCACATCCATGATGCGAATCTCCCGTTCCACCACATCCCAAAGATGCTCTATTGGGTTGAGATCTGGTGACTGTGGAGGCCATTTTAGTACAGTGAACTCATTGTCATGTTCAAGAAACCAATTTGAAATGATTAGAGCTTTGTGACATGGTGGAAGTAGCCATCAGAGGATGGGTACATGGTGGCCATAAAGGGATGGACATGGTCAGAAACAATGCTCAGGTAGGCCGTGGCATTTAAACGATGCCCAATTGGCACTAAGGGGCCTAAAGTGTGCCAGGAAAACATCCCCCACACCATTACACCACCACCACCAGCCTGCACAGTGGTAACAAGGCATGATGGTTCCATGTTCTCATTCTGTTTACGCCAAATTCTGACTCTAACATCTGAATGTCTCAACAGAAATCGAGACTCATCAGACCAGGCAACATTTTTCCAGTCTTCAACTGTTCAATTTTGGTGAGCTCTTGCAAATTGTAGCCTCTTTTTCCTATTTGTAGTGGAGATGAGTGGTACCCGGTGGAGTCTTCTGCTGTTGTAGCCCATCCGCCTCAAGGTTGTGCGTGTTGTGGCTTCACAAATGCTTTGCTGCATACCTCGGTTGTAACGAGTGGTTATTTCAGTCACTGTTGCCCTTCTATCAGCTCGAACCAGTCTGGCCATTCTCCTCTGACCTCTGGCATCAACAAGGCATTTCCGCCCACAGAACTGCCGCTCACTGGATGTTTTTTCTTTTTCGGACCATTCTCTGTAAACCCTAGAGATGGTTGTGCGTGAAAATCCCAGTAGATTAGCAGTTTCTGAAATACTCAGACCAGCCCTTCTGGCACCAACAATCATGCCACGTTCAAAGTCACTCAAATCAACTTTCTTCCCCATACTGATGCTCGGTTTGAACTGCAGGAGATTGTCTTGACCATGTCTACATGCCTAAATGCACTGAGTTGCCGCCATGTGATTGGCTGCTTAGAAATTAAGTGTTAACGGGCAGTTGGACAGGTGTACCTAATAAAGTGGCCGGTGGGTGTATATCACATGACTAAACTTACATCATCATTTTTAAATACCTCTGTTTAGACAGTCCACTCTACAACGCGAAATCTGCATCTTCAAATTTATCCACTTTGGAGAGCGTTTTCAAAAAGCTTCGTTTTCATTAATAAAAACGCTGTCTCAGTGTGACGGAAGAGAAAACGGAGAGATAGATGCGTTTTCAAATGAAAAAACATATTAGTGTGGGCATGATCTAGTACAGTCCATGTAGCAAGGTTTGTTTTTAAATAGATATATTGAATAGTAAGGGTTAGTATGAATGGGTCAAGTGTTCATCAGTTTCTTGAATATGGCTAAAGACTCAGGTTGAGTTACGCAGCTCATTCCTCCAGCAGGAACAGTCCAGATGAAGGTCTGTGAAAGTGATTCTGTGTCTCTTTGGGATGATGGCACCACAAGACACCGTTCACCGGCAGAACACAAGCTTCTGGAGACACATCGGTCTGGAGTAGTGAGTTTAGGTATAGAGGAGCAGAGCCAGTGGTTGTTCTGTAGGAAAACATCAGTGCCTTGAATTTGATGCGAGCGGAAATTAGCAACCAGTGCAAGTTTATGAGGAGAGGAGTGAGGTGTGTCTCTTCGGCTCGATAAACACACTCTTGCTGCAGCATCTGGATCAGTTGCAGAGGTTTGACTGATGCTGGAAGGAGAGAGCATTACAAGAGTCCAGCCTGGAGAGAACAAGAGATTGGACCAGGAGTTGTGTAGCTCTGATAGGAAGGGCCTGATCCTCCTAATGTTGTATAAAGCAAATCTACAAGACTACAGTTCTAGCAAGTCTGTGAAGTTCAACTGATCATCAATCACAACTCCAAGGTTCCTGGCTGTCCTGGATGGAGTTATGGATGATGAACCTACAGCTGAATATAGAGGTTCTGATGAAGTGATTGGTTGTGTGAAAACACAAGCAGTTCTGTCTTCATAAGGCTGAGTTGAAGGTCCTTCATCCAGCAAGAAATGTCAAGATGCGAGCGATCTGCTACTGTCAGATCATCTGGTTGGAAAAAGAGGTATAGTTTTGTGTCATCAGCATAGCAGTGATCGGAAAAACATGTAGATGGAGAAGAGAAGCGGTCCCAGCACTGAGCCCTGAGGCACTCCAGTAGCTAGATGATATCACTAGCTATGTTTCCATCCACACGTTTTTATCCGAATTAAGTGATATCGAATGAAAAATGCCTTATGGAAACAGTAAAATTCGATTGAATTTCATGAATATCGACTCAAATGAAATACGTTCGGTCTCATCGGATTTTATCTTGATCGATATACGGCTTATGCGATAAACGCTGCTGGAAACGTTATTTGCCGAATAAATAATGAATTGCGATTAAGTTTTAGGTCATTTTATGGTTGCCACCCGCTACAAAACATAGAAGAAGAAGTTTTAGTTAATTTCTGCCCAGTATTTCCGCTCTGTTTGCGCACACATGTGGGTGTCAACAAAGACAGATGTAAGTGGACAAAGCAAAAAAATGCTTGAACCAAAGGGTTTCCGTGAGGTGTTTCTGAACCGCGATCTCCCAGAACTGATGGAGCGCTGCCGTTCCCACACCACAGGCGCCTCCGTTGTCTTTGGGCATTTACGTGCATCTGCATCATCATAGCCATGTGGTGATAGCGTCGTTGTTTTCTTATTATAGCTTGTTATTACATGGCTTGGTTGAATTCTAATGTAGAATGCGGTCTGTTATTTCTTGATAACACACCGCTGCTAAGTATAACACACCGTTGCCATGAACAACAGAGCGTTGCCATGGACGCAGTTCAGAGACGGAACGGACTATTTTCTTTAGCGGAAGCAATACAGTCGTTTTTTAAATCAATAAACTCCTTTTTAAATCAATATTTTGTGTCAAATTATTGATTTATTTGGTAGGTAGCCATGTAATAAGCGGGATAATGTATAGCGAGGCAATTGTTATAGCTAACCCCTTCAGGCTAACAACCGCCTCGCTATACATTATCCCTTACATATGTCGCTATCAGCTGGCACATAAGCACTATTAGGCTACAACTTGTGCAATATTGATTATTTGTTGGTAGATGGCGCGATCCATTTTGTCTAGCAAAACTTTGTTCGCAAATGTTTGCTTGAATGTTGTGCGATTCAGTGCGAAAATGAATGGAAACACCTTAAAATGTCTCAAATCAATTCGATATACCAATTTGATCGCAAAACAGCATGTGACGTCATTATGCACAGGTTTTTATTCGCTTTAAAGCCGTTGGATGGAAACACACTTTCACCAGCTTTATTCGCATGAGTTTTTTTTACCGAACTTCAGATAATTCGATTGACAAGTGGATGGAAACTTGGCTAGTGATGGGAAAAGCCATGTTTCTGAATGACAGATCCTAGTGATGACATGTAGATGGAGAACAGAAGCGGCCCCAGCACTGAGCCCTGAGGCACTCCAGTAGCTAGATGATAACAGTGATGGGATAAACCATGTTTCTGAATCACAGATCCTAGTGATGTCATGTAGATGGAGAACAGAAGCGGCCCCAGCACTGAGCCCTGAGGCACTCCAGTAGCTAGATGATAACAGTGATGGGAAAACCATGTTTCTGAATCTCAGATCCTAGTGATGACATGTAGATGGAGAAGAGAAGCGGTCCCATCACTGAGCCCTGAGGCCCTCCAGTTGCTAGATGATAACAGTGATGGGAAAAGCATGTTTCTGAATCTCAGATCCTAGTGATGACATGTAGATGGAGAAGAGAAGCGGTCCCATCACTGAGCCCTGAGGCACTCCAGTAGCTAGATGATAACAGTGATGGGAAAAGCATGTTTCTGAATCTCAGATCCTAGTGATGACATGTAGATGGAGAAGAGAAGCGGTCCCATCACTGAGCCCTGAGGCCCTCCAGTAGCTAGATGATAACAGTGATGGGAAAAGCATGTTTCTGAATCTCAGATCCTAGTGATGACATGTAGATGGAGAAGAGAAGCGGTCCCAGCACTGAGCCCTGAGGCACTCCAGTAGCT